CATGGGACTTGAACCAGCAACCGTCCAGATGCACTCCCAACCCCCCCCCAACTGCATGTAAGTGTTGTTACTGCGGTTGCAGCCTGATGCTGATGACAGTGACTGTCCCCTGAACAGGCCAGTCCACATCAACTTCATCGAGTCATATGACCAGGTGTCAGTTGATTGGCGACACAATCAAAGCGGGGAGAGAGCAGCCTTTACTCTGGTAAAGAATCTCCTTAAATATAGGAATATTTTTTACAAGCCAGCTTAGGATTTAAGACTGTGTAACCAGCTCTGTGGTGTGGTGGTGCAGTGGTTAGCACTGTTACTGCACAGCTCTGGGACCAGGGTTTGAGTCTCTACTGTGTCGTCGTGGGGTTTCCTCTGGGTACTCTGGTTCCCCCCCCACAGCCCAAAAACATGCTGAGGTTCATTGGAATGGTGTGTGTGCCCTGTGATGGCTTGGTGTCCCATCCTGGGTTGATCCCTGCCTGTAGCCTCAGGATAAACTCTGATCCCCCATGACCCTGAATAGGACTAAGTGGGTACAGAAAATGGATGGATAAGTAGCTCTGCCTTCATTCATGCAAACCACCATCAGTTACCAGCAGGTATTCAGTTTGTGACTCTCTAATGTATTCCATGTACTTAGAAGATGGCCAGTTCTTTTTGTCTGTTCAAAACTTCCAGCTCAGTAAGAAACTGAGAGCAACAGCAAAGTGTCAAGCAATTTGGTCTCCTCAAAGCAGCAGAGTCACACTGCTGGAACAATCAATACTGCTGATTGAGTGCATTGGACAAGATTGAATGTTAGGTTTGCCGGCCGAATTTAAAACTTCACATATCTGATAGGTGCTATAAAAAGCTCCTTGTCATCAAATAATAAAAAAAGCAGATTTTCAGGTAAACATAATAAGTGATGCAGCTGGCAGTGAGGAGCCTTTGCTCTCTGCACAGCCCCACCCAACTTTTGCCTGTTGTCAGATGTGACAAATGTATAAGCGTCTTCCTGCAAACCTCTGTAACACCCTCGGCTGGATTAATATTTCTCTCTTATGAAAGGTGAATTTGTGATTACATATTGCTTTCACGTGGAGGGGAAATGCTTTTTTTCCCCATTGTTGTCATACATTACTACCTGAATATTGGGAAGATACTGGAAATTAAATTCAAATGGAAAATACGTATGTGCAAAGTAAAAAAAAAAAAAAAAGAGAGATGGAGTAGATCTCTCTGGTGTGTATTAAATTGAGCTTTGAAGTATGTTTGCGTTACTACATGCTGGACTGGGATTTTTGGAGAGACAATATTTGTCATGAAATTCCTTTGTCATTTTAAGGGATTATGTTTGTTTGCATTGGGAGGGGGGGGGGTCTTTGGTCTGGTGTCTGCTGGATTATGTGAGGACTACCTATCTCAAGACTGGCACAGACAAAACTCAGGCACAGGGAGACGCACTGGAAGTGCGGAAGTGAAGGAACTGACCTGAAGCAGTCTGCCTTGGATGAATAAATGGCCCAGCTGTTGTACCCTAGAGAAAGGTATAAAAACCACATTTCTCCAGGAAATCTTTACTGCATGAGTCATCAAAGTGCAAAATGTCAGCCCCCCTGCCTAAGAATGCTTGTTGAGTCAGTAAAGGCTAGCAAAATAATCCAGCTATCTTTTATACAGGACCCTTGCAATCTGTTATTTTAAGATTCAGTGTCAGATTATCAATGAAGAATCAATATCTGTGCCTCATTCTACACGCCTCCAGGGAGCTCGATGGAAGGAGGATTACAGTGTAAAATGTCATATTTTTGTTATCATTCCTTCCCACTATCAGCTTTGCAGACTTATATAGTTACACTTGATGCTTTATGCAGAAAATAAAACAGCGTGGGTTGATCTGTAGAAGCGAGGGGCTTTATATGCACGTTTAAATGACACCATTTGGCTAGTCTTGCAACTCTTTAAATGTAAAATCTGTTTAAATTTAGATAAGGCCCGCCACAATATGTAGTGTGACTCTGATTATCTTTGCGGTCTATGTTCTTCACTTCCATCTATGTTGATGAAACTTTGACAGTGTTTATGGGTAAGTTACAGTGTACCTGTGCTGAAACTAGCCTTGTCAGTTAAACTGAGCCTCATTAATCAAGATATCGACTCCTGATGTCTCCAGGAAAATTGCAGCAGCGCTTAAACTTGACCTGAGCCTCTTTTCGTTTGACTTGCAGAAATATTAAAGTGAACAAAGTACAGTGATCTGCTGTTTAGTGTCTGAGAGCAATGAGAATGTTACCATTTTGAGGAGTTTGTCGTTACCTCTGAATGACCTGAAAGCTGGATCATAATTATCTGGAGCCCCGCTGTTGCTACCTTGAGCAAAGGTACTTGACCTCAGTTACTTCAGCTGAATTTAATGAGTGGCACATTTAGTTATATAATGGGTAAAAAAAAGTGTTTTTGGTAAAAGTATCAGTTTATCAACAAAACAGTAACAAATGGGTCATCTCTAATTTCCTTCATCCTATCTTTTTATATCCCCACCTTGAAATTTTAGGTTTTATTTATCATTAGCTGAAGCTGTGCGGGTTGTGATTCACTGCAGGTCCCGAAATGTCCAGTGACTGGCTGAACCGGACTTCTAATGTGTGATTTCTTTGCGCCCGGTCTCCTGGCAAGAAATATGATTGGCTTGCCGAACAAGTCAGACCAATCAAACTGTTCTCTTATGTCCAGTTGTGAAATAATTGCTGTAGCTGATTATCACTCATGCAGTGCAGCAGCTTCAGTGGAACATTCCTCAGTATGAGTGTGGTACAGAACATGCCTTCTAACAAAAGCCCCGTAATGCAGGGTTATTTCAATGCTCATGTTATACAAATCATACATTTTCATAGAAAAATCTTTTCTTTGTAATGTCTGTGATTATACAGCTCCTTCAACCAATATGACACCTACAGTATATTTTAAATAACTATCTTGCATGATATGTTATCTTATCATATTGTAATGTACTGGGCATGGAGAATGTATTATATAGCTGGACGTGTTTAAATTCATCTTCAGTTATTGGAGTACGGGAGAAAGCACTGAATTACAACCAATTGTGTTTGTAAAAATGCAAAATGGCGGTTATGCTCTTTTGTAATATACTAATAACATGTGGATGTCTTGTTGAATGCCACCTTTTCTCCCCTATAGGTTCAACTGTTTCAGGCACATGAACACAGCACCAGAACAAATGTGGGGGGGGGGCTGGCGAGGATAAAAATTGTCGTTCGGGGGGTAGAAGCTTTGGGTAAGCGGCCGACCTATAGCCGCGCTCCTGGGAGAGACCGACCTTATTTGTTTAACTGTGAATGCCTTTATTAAAAAACAACATTTAAATTAAATTAAATTAAATAAAAGACGGCATCCTTGATGGGTGGCATATTACAAGGCACAATTGCTTGTATGGGGGGGGGTCACAGCCCACAAATGCCCCCCAGCCCTGCTATAAGCAACAAAATAAGTAATTCCCTCCTCTGGCTCTATTAAGTATTTAAGTTATCATAGACAACACAAGTGGCACTGATATCATATTAAGAATGTCAATGACGGCACTGATCATCGTGAGCATGGGGAAGGTGATGCATGCAGCCATTTCGTTTGGAGCTCCAAGCTGGGCCAGCTGGGGTGGACAGGGTGTGGAGATGCCTGATCCGGCAGAGACCTCCATGAAGAGTAACAAGAAAAACCCAAGTACCCCCCCCCCCCCTGGTGGAACCAGTCTGGAGATCCTCATCTGTGTCTGTGAGCTTTGGCCAATGACCAAAGGATAAGGCTGCAAGTACAGGCAGCCAAAATGAGGTTTGTCTGCGGCATTTCTGGGCTCACTCTCCCTGACAAATTCAGAGATCTCTACTCCCCTGGATTGAGAGGAGTCGGCTGAGATGGTCTCATAAGGATGTCATTTGCTCGGCTTCTGAGGGAGCTGTTCTGGGCATGTTCCACTGGGCAGAGGCCCTGGGGCTGACCCAGGGCACGCTGGAGAGATTATATCTCCTGGTAGGCTGGGGAACGTCTGGGGATTCCCCAAAGGAGCTACAGACTGAGGACTTGGAATGAAAGGTTTGGACCCACCTGTCACTGTGACCCTCACCAGGATAAGTGGTAGATGATGATGATGATAATGATGGTGATGGTGATGATGACAATGATGATGATGACGATGATGATAATGATGGTGATGATGACAATGATGATGATGACGATGATGATAATGATGGTGATGATGACGATGATGATAATGATGGTGATGATGACGATGATGATGATGGTGATGACGATGATGATAATGATGGTGATGATGATAATGATGATGACGATGATGATAATGATGGTGATGATGATGATAATGATGATGGTGATGACGATGATGATGGTGATGATGATAATGATGATGACGATGATGATGATAATGATGGTGATGATGATGATGATAATGATGGTGATGATGATGATGACGATGATGATGCAAACGACAATGATGGTGATAATGTTGGATATTCTACAAGTGATTTTTTCCACATCACTCCAACTCTGCACCTACAGTATGAAATAATACACCCATCTCACATACCTCAGCCTATCTCGTCCGCTCCTGGGTAAGTTCTCCTGTGAGTCCCAGGCAAACCGCGTACAGCCTCCTTCTGCTCTGTGTCTGTGGAGTTTGCATGTTCTTGTGTCGCACAGAGCTTCCTCTCGCTACTTCGGTTCCCTTCCTCAGTACAAAGACAAGCAGTTAGGTGAATTTCCGTCTCTAAATTTGCACCATTATTTGTGTGAGTGTGTATCCTGGGGTGGACTGGTTTCCCATTCAGGGTTTGCCTTGTTTTACCCCCTGTGCTTCCTGGAATGGGCTCGAGCCTCATTAAAATCCTGTACTGGACCCATTTTTTCCAGTGCAAGGTTAGGGGCTTTGGTGCTAAATGGCAGTTTCACTTGACAGTGACAGTGATCTGTACATCCATCTGGTTCCACAGGGTACCTGACTGTCACCATCGAACCCATACCCCCTGTCATTGTGGGCGACACCGTGACCCTGAAGTGTAACTTCAAGACTGACGGCAGACTGAGAGAGATCGTCTGGTTTCGGGTAAGAAAGCAGCAGCTAAGCTGTACGTCTGTAGCGTTGGTGGTTCGGGACAGAATTCTGGCTTTGATCACCAGCCATCAAACCCTTCACTTGTGTCAGTGTGAGAGCCTGTGGGTTAAGCCCATGTAAACTTGGGTGGAAGGTTGCTGGTTCAGATCCTGTGGTCAGCAGATTGATTTCACTGTTGGGCCCTTGAGCCGGACCCTTAACTTCAGTTGCTCCTGGGACTTTTTCCATTGAAAGTATCAACTAAATAAGTGTAAACAGAATTTTTTATTTTATCTTATACCAGATGTCAGTTGATTTCACAGCGTTTTACTTTGGGTTTTCTACGTCAATTCTGCAAATACTTCAAAAGCAATAACAAGTCTTTCAGAAAGACTGAGGATATGCTGATGTATTATGAAGATCAGTAGACACATACTCAAAAATTGTTTATGTAATTCATATTTTTGATTTTTGAGCTGGGTGTTTTACATAAGCAATTCCAGTTGAGTAGCTTGCTGAAGGATATTTCAGGAGGAACCCTTCTGGGATTCAAGTCCCAACCTTTATGTTAGAAGCATAAAAATCCATCTAAAAACCACACAAATTTACAAACGTAAACAAAACCAATAGTCAATTAAACACAGTGTTTGCACACCAGCAAACTAGGCTTGTCCATTACTTGCCCACTATTCCTGAGAAATTAGGGTACATATTGAATGTATTTTGCAATTAAAAAGGCTTTCTGGTGGAAATGAAAGCCTACGTTTAGCCTTGATTCCGCTTGAATCCAATCCTCAGGAACCGTGAATAAAAAAAATGAACACTGAATTGCTTAATGAACTAATGACTTAATTCACATTGTTCATAAGCTGGTGTGACCTAAATGGAATAGTTATATAAGGAGAAGTTATATAAATTGTTTATATTTGAAATTTTGCTAATTTACATGGCTGACCATGTACATCCACCCTGTTCAGCGGCACAAACAGCTTTCTATGCATATAACAGGTTTTGTATAAGAGAATTTTAATGTCGTCATGTGATGTTTCAAACTGATGGGCCTTCAATTGTGCTGGAATAAGCAGCATCCGTACAGGAACCAGCCGCCGATCCATTTAGCTGTCCTTAATGTACCCACAACAACGCTTATCAGTGGTTTCTGCATAAGCAATTATGCACATACAAAAGCGAATCCAGTCTCACACTTCACTGTTCGTAGCTAACTTCTGAAAACTAATTAAATTAATAAAGTGTTTGATTTATGTGAGCTAGACCAGTATTTGTCTATTGAATGTGTAAGACAGAATAGACCAAACATAATGTAATTATTAGCATGATAAGCATAATTAACTCTAATTGCTATGATTATTTGTGAAGGTCTTTATAAATTTTTCACAAAAATTTTGAATTAAAAAACAGGAAACAATAGCACAATTCAGTCACTATCCAAAATGCATCTTGTGCTTTTTATATAACAATTCTTCAGCTGTCTTGTCACAGTAAGAATGAACCCAATGCTTTAATCTTTCTGTCCGCATATTTTTCAAAGGGACATGGCCCTTGGAATTACTGAGAAGTCCAAAGTTCTTTCATTCATGGTCTGCACCATAATCATGAAGAGAACCAAGAGTCCAGTGGGGATTACGAATGTTTAGGCCGAATCGCCTTCCTCACCAGTCTAACAATCAAAAGGAAATATCCACAATTAAGTTCCAAAGACTTTTTTCCCCTTAGAATGGTTTAAGTCCCTTGTCTCATATAACCAGAGGTCAAGTTGTAAAAATATTTCAAGGCAGACCGCAAGAGTGCAGGAGGGGTCCCCAACGATTGCACCATTGGCCTGACATGTACTCCTGATATAATCATTAGATTTACTTTTACTTGAGTGACAATTAAACAGAACAATCAAAGGGGGCGGTATGTTTTCAAAGGCGATGGGAAACGGCATCTATGTTCGTCCCAAGGCAGCTTAAGCCCTGTCTATAATTTCAAACGCATAACTGAAAAGTCTTAACTGCAGTGCAGGTTGTGTTTGTCTCCTGGTGACTCTCGATCTCTGCTGGAAGGGCAGGTGACAGCAGTGCCGTGTTCCGCGTCGGACCTTCAGGCAGTGCTAAGTTCCACACCAGAGGCCTCATTGTTTCCCTTTTTCCACTTGAAGGTTACAGATGGGGGCAGCATGAAGCAGAAAATCTTCACGTACGACGCCATGTTCAACACCAATTACTCACACATGGAGGACTACAGAAGGCGCGAGGACCTCGTCTATCAGTCAACGATCAGGTAGACACCCACCACAGTGACAAACAGATATTTTGGTTCGGTGTATAGAAACGGTCGATGTAGTCCTCTCGAGAATGCTAACATGAAGGGAGGCTATGAAAGAAAGATTTTAAAATAATTTTAGAATAATGAAAATTTCGTCATTCTAAGTGAAACTGTTTTGGGTGCGATTTTACAATAATAAATAAATAAATAAATAACTATTCAATGTGATACAGGACTACAATCTTCGTTGGGTATATGTCCCGTCTTCGCGCTCTGCATGCACTGTGAACTGGCCTCAGTAACACACAGATTCATAATGAAAGATAAGGAAGATCCTATTATTTATTTTTTTGTTTTTTGGGATGTGGGGGGGTGCGTCCCCCCTGTTCCCCCATTTCGAAGATCCCTACCCCTTGGTGTTAAATAATATGTAACTGCAGTCGTGTTCCCTCAATTCCTCACAACTAGATACCTTGAAACAGCAAGAATAGCTAAGAACTGGAAACTAACAGACTTCTGTAACTTTTCATGCATGTTCAAGAATTTCCAGACATACTGGTATCTGTCTAAGTCAATGTTCTGGCTCTGACAGCAGACGTTTAGTGTTACCTCCTTGCCAGAAGGATTGCGTGGTCTTACGGAGACTCCTGAGGCAATCCGGCATGAAGGCAACGCTGATGGTGCCACACAGAAACATTTTAAATGATTGAATCAAGGCTGCAGATGGGGTGGGAGGAATGGAGGTGGATGCGTTCCCATGCAGGAAACTGCTGTTGTACCTTTACCTTTAGGTGGCTTGAGTGGATAAACAAAAGTGTGTGAATCAGACAATCGACTGTGTAAAATACAAATAGTAGTCAGTGTTAGAAAGACTACCTACTATATTGCGGATAGCAAAATATGAGAACATATGAAATGACATTTTCTAATGCTACTGCCTCCTTGCCTTCTTTTATGTGGGGAGCTGCTACTGTCAATCACATGAAATACTACACCGATTCATTTAAAGTCACTTTGTTAACGGTAGGTAATAGCACACGCAGGTAGAACCTATGACAGGATCTGCCGGTAGGAATTATAGCCTGGTAGGTCTGAAGTCTAACAGCAGAGCTTTCCTTTAATCTCTTGGTGTCAATGCATTTCATCTTCTATTGTGTTTATGAAAATGCACTTGTGTTCCACTTAAGTTCTAATTAAATTCAATTACAAATACAGTTCAGTGCAGCCTTATGCTCTATTTACTTTTTCCCCGTCTAGAGTCGAGACAAGAACTGTGCTTGCAGTTAGTACGAGGTTTCGTAATAAGCACATTTATGCGTAACAGGGTGACTGTCCTACTTTTGGGACACTGTTCTGAGCCTGGGTTCGTTCTGGAACTGCAGCATTGGGGATGACGGTTTTGGTATCAGTGGTGTTACAGGCACGGAGGAAGGTACCGAGTATAGGAGGACGCTATAGATGGTGACGTCACACCCCAGGGTCACGATGGCAGTCTGACTCATTCCACTGCTTCTGGGGATCATCGCCTAACCTTCACGACGTGAATCTCCCATTCCACTACGTTCCATAGCTGCTCTTTTTGATCCTTCTGGTGACTGTGGAGGCCGTCTGAGCACAGCAATCTCATTGTCATGTTCAAGAAACCAGTGTGAGATGATGTAACCTTTGTGACATGTGAGTTATTTTGCCGGGAGCAGCCATTAGCATCTGGGTGCAGTGTAGTCATAGGGTGCTTTTCCACTGCATTTGGTATTTCCCCCTTTGCATTGACTTCCGGTTAAGTACCAGTACCCAAAGTACCAAACCAGCTGGGGTACTTCTTTGGTACTTTGGCGTGAGACTTGAAATACTTTCTTTGTCGATTGGTGACACACAGAGCCTGCCGGTGAAACACTATACAAAGCTGGCTTGAGAACAGTTATGAACTCAGGAAATAACAAAAAACAAAGTTAAAAAAGGGAAGTAATAATAATGCATATGTGGACAAACGAGACCCAGGATTTAACTGCAATCTGGCTGGAAGAACAAGAAGATGATCAGGGTGCCGTGACAAGGAATTAAAAAATGTTATTGGAAAAAATTTTAATATCGCGATGTGATTTTGTTGCAATAAATATCGGCTATTTCTAAAACAAAAAATTAAATACATTTCCCCCAAACCCATCTAGGAGTGATTTTTACTGGGAACGATAAAAATGATCAGAATGCAGAGCTCATGCGAAAGCAGCGGCAGTAAACTAAACTGATTTTTAAAGATATACAGTACTAGGGGCGCTGAGTGGCTCAGTTGGCCAAGTCTCTGTACTTGTGATCTCAAGGTCACCAGTTTGAGTCCTGGCCTCAGCAAGACAGTCACATCTCCGGGGACCGTTGAGCAAGGCCCTTAACCCCCGGCTCCATGGGTGCTGTACATTGGCTGACCCTGTGCTGTGACCCCCAAGCTATGGAGAGCAAGACGGGGTCAGGGAAATGTACTTGTGCAAATGACAAATAAAGCACGTTTGTTCATTACAATCTTGAAAAGGAACAATCACTGAAATTGCAATGCTTGCTAAGTTTTGTGCCCTATAACAAATTAAAAATGATTTAGTTAAACCCACCGTGCTACAATATCCATATAGTATGATGATAAGAAAAAGCCTGATCTCAACCCAGCTCAATATCACTGCCCTTGTGATGTGAGAAACGCATGACCTGCAATGTTGATATTAATATTGCACATCGCCCAGCCCTATACAGTAATATACTACAGCCATTTTTCAAATTCAGTACAAGATATTAGTACTCAGGTAGGTTGTGGCATGTGGCTGCGTGCTCACTGGGTAGTAAGGGGCCCAAAGTGTGCCAAGAAATTATCCCCACATCATTACACCAGCAACACTACTAGCCAGATATTTTTGAAACAAGGCAGGATGGATCCGTGCTTTCATGTTGTTTATGCCAAATTCTGACGCTTCCATCTGAATGTCACTGCAGAAATCAGGAATTATTTGACCAGACATCCTTTTTCCACTCTTCCATTTTCCAGTGATGGTGAGCCCATGTTCACTGTAGCCTCAGTTGCCAGTTCTTAGCTGACAGGACTGGCACCCAGTGTGGGCTTCTGCTGCTGTACTGTAGCTCATCTGCTTCAAGGTTTAATGTCTTGTGCATTCAGTGATGCTCTTCTGCATGCCTTGGTAGTAATGAGGGGTTATTTGAGTTACTGTTGCTTTTCTTTTAGCTTGAACCAATCTGGCCATTCTTCTCTGACCTCTGCCATCAATAAGGCATGTTTGCTCATAGAACAGCAGCTCACTGGATATTTTTTCTTTTTCAGCCTATTCCCAGTAAACCCTAGAGATGGGTGTGCGTGAAAATCCCAGTACATCAGCAGTTTCTGAAATGCTCAAAGTCAATATTCAAAGTCACTTAAATCACCTTTCCTCCCCATTCTGATGTTTGATGTGAAGCTCCTCACCTGTATCTGCATGATTTTATTCACTGTGCTGCCGATGTATGATTGGCTGATTAGATTATTTGCTTCGATGAGCAGTTGAACAGGTGTACCTAATAAAGTGGCCAGTGAGTTGGTTCTTTAAGTGTCTGGAAGCTACAAGGGAAACTTAACTGCTGTTGAATCACAGATCCACATTTTCCTTATTATGCAGTCATTTGGTGTCGAAGATAATCAGAAATGTTTGGCAGGCTAATCCTGTTCTTTAGTTGTGTTTAGTTTAGCCAGTCTCAGTCTTTTTGCTTATATAAACATGGTTTAACAAAAAAACAACACTGACTGTCTTCCTGCGGAACCTAAGTAGACTTGACAGATTAATTTGTTTGTATAAAATGAATGCAGTTATCTTTATCAGTAATTACATATAATGATACAAATAGCTGATTATTATTAAGTGTTTCATAAGCTACCCTAATGCATTCTGATGTGTAAAGGCACGTATTAAAACCACAAATCAAATAGGGGAGATTGCTTAGGGACAGGAGCTGCAGGGCAGCCATAGGCTTGTATGCTCACTCTGAGATGCAGAACTCCACCTACATCCACAGACATGAGGCCATTTTCCTAACAGGGATGATGCTTTATACCGTATATATACCTGCAAATACATTATAATAGAAAATTATGGCCACCTTGGAATTTTACGTTCATCATGTACGATATCTCCTGGAAAAAAAGTCCCGTGCGAAAGCTTAGCTCTAAACGCACTCGTTTGTTTGGTTCAGAACAGCACAGAATAAAACTATTTTAAAAATTGAATAGGATGAATGAACTATAAAAACAGGAACAATACCATGATAATTGTTAGCATCTGTTTGAAGAATTCAAATTAGTTTGAAAAAACAGAACAATACTGTCATTGCAGTGAAAATCAGACTCACCTGTGATAAATTATCAATGCTCACATGACTTGAGATACCCAATGAATGATGACTTTAATGCTTAAAAGGGCCATTTTTACTTCCTCCCTGTTCCACAATGGTACATTTCAGAGAGCTGTCTCAGTGCATCAGAAATGCTATTATAACGCCAAGCAAAGGAATTCTAAAAGGCTACGCAGCCATCTTCAAAGACCTTGGCATCCCAGTTTCAACAATTCACAATGTTATTAAGAAGTTTGCTGTTCATGGAAACTGTCAATGACCTCCTGGGATATGGAGGGAATAGGAAAATTGATCGGTGGAAGTTTGGAGGTTTGGGGCAAACTGGAGAAAAAAAAACACCGCAGTAAACATTCACAGAGCTTACGACTGACCCTGAGAAATCTAGAGTGATAGTTTCAACCCGAAAGGGAGATGGCATACTAAACCAGGAAGGGCTTTACGGGAGAAGGCCAGGGAAGACACCGCTTCGTAAGCAAAAGCAGAAAAGGCAGAACTGGTCTTTGCCAAAACCTACATAAGGCCTGTTCTTCTGGGAAGATGGTCTAAGGACAACTGCAACCAAAGTAAAGCTCTTTGGCAATACAGGCCGACGGTTTGTTTATAGGTGATGGGATGAAGCTCATGAGGGAAGGAACACCGTACCTACAGTTAAATATGGTGGAGGATCTCTAATTCTCTTTACTGCCTCTGGTCCTGGAGACCTTGAACATATTAGAGCACTATTTCCCAAACTGGTCCTTGGGGATCCACAGCAGTAGCAGTCCATGTTTTTGCTCCCTGCCAGACAGTCCATATTTTTGCTCCCTCCCAGCCGGGAGAGAGCAATAACTTTGGGAAACAGTGTATTAAAAGAATCATGAGGCATTTTAGAGGGAGTTGTGCTACCCAGTGTCAGAAAACTAGGGTTGAGTTGAAGATCCTGTTGTAGGGCAACCATGCAAAGCACTCGTCCATAAACAAAAATGGCTGGAAAAGGTCTGTTTGAAACTGGGTAGCAATGAGTCCTCATCTCAATCTGAGTGAAAATCTTCGGAAAGAGCAGAATGCTGCCATTGGGAAAACGGAATCTTGCAAAATTCAAGAGCTGGAACGAATTGCAATTGAAGAGTGGGAGAAATCACCTGTGGGCGAGTGCTTCTGGCCACAAGGAATGCTTGCAGACCCTCAATGCCGGTCAGGTCATATTTCTTATGTGAAATCACGACATTTAAATTGCAAAGGCATCTTTTTGTTGAATAACTTTGAACACACTATTAAAATTTTCTGCTGATACATAGTTGGTACATTTCCAATTAGTTCTGTAGAGATATTGTACATAAAAATTCAGAGGTGCCAATAATGTTGCCCATAACTGTATAATCCCCAAAGAATACATTTGCACTTGTTCAATATCAATACCAGCTAAGAAGTCATGAATTTCATAAATACTTATATATGTATAGTTTTCCTTCATTGAAAGATGGCAGGAAGGTCAGTAGCTTCAAGGAGAACAGAACAGAGAAAAGCCAGTGTGGTGCCTTTGCTGTAGATGCTGTGGCTACAGTACATCTCCCAGGCTGCCACTTAAGTGCTTTTATCCCGTCAAAGTAACGTCTCTTATAATGTGTTGGCCGCTGTCACAAGCCCAGGGACTGCAGACCAGCACTTGGGAACAGCAGACAGACAGCGACCTTTGCAGTGCTGTAATTTAACAGGTAAACCGAGGAAACAAAACACAAAATGAGTCTTTTTAAGTTTTAAAGGGTGTGATAAAATTACAGCGAGCGTATGCTGCTGGGGGAAATGGCAGAGACTCGAACCCGGGCCCCAGAGGTATGAGGTGAGGCTGCTAATCACTGCGCCGCCATGCCACCCCTTCATCCATCCATCCATCGCATCTATTTTCCATAACCATTTATCCACAACAGGGTGTCAGTCAGCTAGGCGTCTATCCCAGGGAATTCTGGGTATGAGGCAGGAAACACCCTCAATGTGACGCCAGTTTTCACGTTTCGAAAAAATGGAAACATTCTGCCTGTGTCCGTTTGTTGGATTTGCTGTTTGTAATATTCCTTTTACCCCGGTGCGATAATTAACTATGTAACTATGAACTATGTTCAGCGAGGTGACTAATTAGAGTCAGGCGGAATGGTGAGTATCGTCACGGTAACATAGGTGTCACTGTGTCTTTCTTTCTTCATCGATGGGCGGGTGGCTCAACCCTGGCCCCCCCTATCTTAAATAAGCACTAAGCTGCCTGCAAACGGGATGTGTGCTTTTTATAAATGCTCTTTGACTAGTAATGTGGATTCAGGCTTTTTGGGGGAGGGGGGGTGTCACAGATGCTTCACGGCTTCTTATTGATGCTTACCGGGCCTACAGCACCCCCAGCTCAGGCTGGCAGCTGTGAGCGCCCTCCCCACGCTAATAATTCTGTGGCATCACCTGCGGTGGCACATGTGACGTAACCCCCGAACCCCCCCCCACGCGCTGTCAGTCACGGCAAGACGCGGAAAAGCCGCTTAACGGCTGCTGCGTTCGGGGGGCAAAGCGCACGGGGGGGGGGGGGGGAGTGCAAAGCTTACAGTCATCTGCTTGACCTTCTAAGGGCAGATGATATAGGCCGTGTGGCTTCCTGCTAGCCAAGGACATATGTTTGTGACCTGAAGGTCGCTGGCTGAAATCACAGAGAAGCCTTTGGATGTTGTACATAAGCGAAAAAAGTTCTAAACTTTCTGAATTTCTTCAGCAAATATGCTGCGGCGTGATTGGGTTGTACTATAAGCCGTTCTCCTGCTTCACTATAAACCGATCAATAAAATAAATCATCCATCTATCCATCTTCAAACCACTAATCCAATAGAGGGCGACGTTGGGGCAGAATGCTGGCGCGATCCCAAATGGGATGCCAGTTCATTGCAGGGCACAGACATACACACACTACGGGCGAATGAGAATTGCCAGTTTGTCTAATAGTGAACCTTTGGACTAGCAGAGAAACAGCTTTCCCAGGTGCTCCAAATGTACCATGGGAAGAGCATCTATCACGCTCAGAGCAGAGGGGGATTCACACCCCCAGCCATGAAGGTATGGGACTGCAAGAAATGCGATCCGGCTCCATGACGTTGCACTGTGAGGCTGCAGCAATCCAATTTCTTAACTGTTTCGTTAGACACTGAGAGGCAACGTAAACTGGTTATCAGAAAAAAACGCAATGTTGTATAAGTGATCACTAGGAGAACACTAAAGTGCGCAGATGTTGTGAATAATGCAGAATCACTCCTATAAAAAGCTAAATGAGTGGGTTAGAGCTTATTAAGATCTTGAGAAGAAGGATGTGACATTTCCATGCAGCCTGCAGTAATTTATAAACTGTCCCCCAATATGGCTGTGATGGGTCTCTCCGTCTGAAGGGTGTCTCTGCTGTTTTTCATATAATGAACGCGTAATTGATGCACTCAGGACATATTTACTGAGCTCCTTTAGCGCTGAGAGCCCAACGGAGCGGACAGTCTCAGGCACCCAGCCGTTCGTGAGTCACAATCTTCTGTCCGTTTAGCGGAGGAAAAATCGAGGTTTCGTGCATCTGCCAGCCAGTATTCCTCTCCTCTGTCCCACACGAGCGGCCGGAGCCCCAGGCCGCTGGACGCACTGGCTGCAGAGTGCCCCGTGCCAGGGTCAAAGGTGAGAATTCCATAATGGACCGTCTCTGAAACATGGTGGGGGGTGTGCCTAAGGACAGAGCCGAAGGCTACTCAGCTGTAACTGATTACATCATAAAGCATATAGAGTATAAAGCGAGTTCGCTGTGTGTTAGAGACCCTGCACAATGGGCCTTATCTTGTGCTGTTCTCCTGTGTAAAAACCATGGTTGGCAAGTTGATTGGCTTGTCTGCTTGAAGTATCCTGAGAATGCTAATGAAATCGCCCCCGCCTCACTCCCCAGTCCCCATCTCCAGTGGATCTGTTTACTGTTGTGAGAAACAGAAGCGTTTCACACTTGTCCGAAGGGTTTTTTGGTTCCACACTGCCGCTCGTGCTGGTCTCGGAGTGTCCATGCTGCTCTCGCCATGTCAACACATGCTCAGGAAAGACGGGAACTCAAACACCCTCCAAGCCAGTGAGGTCTTGCTGTGAAGAGCCGCAGAGACCTTTTCTCTGTCACTATGTGAGGTTATTTTGAACTGGACTGGTGCTGATCGCCAGGCGCTGTGTGACAGTCTTGTTAGTAACAGTCAGTGCAAAAAACGACAGATTTTGAGGGTCTATAAATCTGCTGCTAGGTCAAAAGGAGTTCCTCACTGCTCTTTTCATCTGCTAATGCAGAATTAGAGCTTGTCCCTTTCATTTAGGGAATCCTTCATGATGGTTTTCTTTCCTAGAAATGTGAGTGTAAGATGTCCACCTGTCTCACAAAGGCTTTATCCTGCATTTTTCCAGCTTTGAAAACAAGGCTTTGAATCTGTAGCGATGATTCTGAAGTGATTTGTCTGTCAGTTCTCCCTGAAAGACCAAACATTTTGTGCATTCTTAGCCATCATATTCATACCTCCCCAGTAATTATATGGGCCTCGGGGGGGCGGATATCCTGTATATCTGTTTGTGATTCTGTGGCAGTTATCGTTATTCTTCATTTTAAAATGCATTTTTTCTATATTAATTTGAAGCGTACTCATGTTTAGGTTCAAGCATGACGTTTAGAACTTCTGAGGTGAATTAATGGTCATTCTTACCAGATAAAATCATAGTAACTCAGAATAGTGACAGGCCTAATTCAGGTTCTCACGGTTCTGTCCTCGCAGGCTCCCAGAGGTCCGCATCGCTGACAACAGGCCCTACGAGTGTCACGTGGGTGTCTACGACCGCTCGACACGGGAGAAAGTGGTCCTGGCTTCAGGGACCATCTTTCTCACGGTCATGGGTAAGTTACCCAAGGGGAATGAGAGGCGCTGATTTCACAAGCTATCTGCTGAAGATTTAAAGTTACCTTCCTGAAGGCCAAATCTCACACACTTTTTATTATTCAGAGAAGTCTGTGTTGTTTTCACTTTCAACTATATCTGCTCCGTGTCTGAGTGAATGCTTCAAATCCACAGGGACCGTATACTTGGGCAGGCAGGGAGAATCGTCCTTATCGCATATTCAGTACCACCACTGACGAGTCAGGAGATACTGCTGTACCCTAACTAATGGCAGCGTTTTGTTCAATCCGCAGCGTAAGCAAAGCCTGCTGGACTAGATTAAATAGATGTGGGTCATGTCACCTCTGATGTAGTTTATATTTGCATAAAGTTGACAAAAAAGACCATACAAGATCATATGCATACTTAGGATTCCAAATAAGTGCTCTGGGCCAATGCATGGCCATTATCCCTGCTAGCCAAGCCCTTAGCCTAAGCTAACAACACTGTCCTATACATTACTGGGATATACACATTAGTCTGTTAAAGTCTAGTACTTTAAGGTCTTTCACTCAGTGACTTGTTTCATGGATGATGTTTTAAAAATAGATTTAGTATTTTGTTACTGAATTTCTTGCACAGATAAAATATCTATGCAAGTGCTGAACAGAGCAAGGTCTTGTTACAACATTGAAAACATCGAATTCTGAACAGGAACATGACATTCCCGGAGAAACGGCCCAGTGCCAATGTAGTTTGATGTGGAGCTGGCCTCGTTGTGTGTAAGATGGTGCAGAGGGTTAGTCTCCTGCAATTGTTGAAACAGATGACATGTGTTGATATGAAAAAGAAAAAAACAACCTTTGTGTGCACCGACAAAACTGGCTGCCATATTAGAGTGATCAACCCAGAAGAGCTTAGCAACTGTTAGCTTGTAGAGGACCCGCATGGATCAGCTTCTCACAGAAAAGGTAACGGACTATTTATGGGAAAGAGGAGAACATCACTGTGATATTTCATTATCACTTAATTAAAAAAGCCAGCTGGTAAGGACAATTACACATAGAGTCTGTGTGCCCAAAGGGATCCAGTACACAAGCAATATTTAATGCACTAAAGCAGATCCTAAATACACTGTGCTGTAGGATTTTTTTTAGGATGTTTTGTTTAAGCCACAGCTCTTTGTCTGATACATGTACAGTAAATCTTTTGGTAACACTTTACTTAAGGCCATGTTTTTAGTAATTTATAAAGATAACATTCATAACACATTATAATGCATTCATAATGCATTATAAACATGGCTACAAATATTTATCAAAAGGCATAACACATTATAGCTGTATTTATTATGCACTATGAATGCTTTATGACGTGTTCATCTATAATGCACTACAGATACAATGCATTATAATGGTCAATATAAGAATTAAGGATGCTTTTGTACTGTATTATGAAGGTGTCTATAGTTCATTATAGATGAGAGCTTCATAAAGTATTCATAATGCATAATAAACATGGCTATAATGTGTTATCCCTTTTGATAAATATTTATAGCCATATTTATGTGTATGGATGTGTTTATAAATTACTAAGAAAACTTACCAATTTTTTTAATTGATTAAAAACTGATTTTTTTTTTTCATATTTACATGCCTGAATTAAACGCGTAAAAAAATCACATTGATCAAGGTATTGATGCAAAATCCAAAGTAAGACCTTTGTCGTGTCTCGATCCGCGTGACTAAAATGTCCTCCTTTGCTCTATAGCGCCTCCTGTGTTTATCTCAGTGGTGGAAGCTGACACTCCGGCCTCTTTCAGTCGCTACCAGGCACAGAACTTCACTCTGAAGTGCATCGTATCTGGAGGAAAACCCGCACCGACGGTAAGCCGAGAGTCAACAGGGACGGCAAACACCGCGGTGAGCCACGCCCAAGCCACGCGCGGCTCTGCACCGGCGTCACGCTGACCTCCCGGCACGCTTCGTCACCAGCCTCGCAGGCGTGTTCCAGCCGAGCCCTGATTAATGTATATCTCAAAAGGAATAATGTCCCTGATCTTCTGGATCACGAGCCGGGAGAATTTTCTAAGCCCAAGATATAAAAGAAGGGAAGCTGCAGCTGTCGAAGCCTGGTGGTCCGCCAGTGCAGATACAGCTGAAACGGCTGTGCTTAGCCGTCCTTAAAAATGCCTGCGCTGAAGCAAGGCTTGTCACCGGAAACATCTCACCTTCAAATGTTTGCTACATAACGTGTTAAATTGAAGGGAATGTGGGGAGTGTGGGGGGGGGGGTTAGGCTCATTTGACAATGACTGATAACAAACACCAGCTACTCAGACACACCAAGAGATTATGGATCGTCCAAAACATCGCCAGGAGACACTAGAATGATCCTCAGCCACTCTGTCCCTTTGTTTACATTTTGCGGTGATACCTTTTAATTTTGAAAATGCCCCCTGAGCCATATTTTTCACCACTTTGTCACAGAAGTAACTGCTACATCCACATTAGTAATTATCCCAGCACTCGACTGGCCCTTAATAATGACGCATCTGTGTGATGCACATAAAAGGGTAGTTTTGTAGTTAAACATTGAAGCAATTTCCAGTCTTGGAAATTAAAGACTGGAAAGCCAACAAGCTGCCGTTGTTAGTGACTGGGGTCTTCACAGGAAATTCAGTTTGATGTCTTGGATTATGGGTGGGGGGGGGG